CAAACTCTCAATATACATTCCGAATTTTTTGGGTAGTAATAATAATAATAATAATAATATTAATATAGACTATCAGTCGAGTGCGAAATAGTATTTACACAAATAAAAAAATAACTTAAGGATTCAATATGCAGACACAGAATTATGTACGCAAACTATTGGATCGAAGTTATGGAGCCGTATGGACAACTGTGGCACCACCAAGTAGGCCCTTATCAGTAAGAATGCTACTTAGTGACGAAAATGGAAATGGGAAATGGGTAGTTCCAGTCAATAATATACCTGAAAACTGGAAACCTGGAGATATATATGATTCAGGAGTACAAGTGATGGCCTGATGCAAGAATGACCTACTATTGTTCAATTATTTTCTGTTTTTTACGCTTTCTTGACTTTCCTTCCCGTCCTTTGAATTAATTTATCTTACAATATTGTTTTATCGAAAGTAGGATTTGTTAAGGTGTTTAAAAAATCCTTGTTTATCCATCTGCTGAATAAATGAAATATAATAAATGAATTAAGGAAATGAAAGTTCAAAGTTGTCGATATTAATACAAATCCTTTCGCTGCAGTATGATAATATTATCAAGCATTTAGCTATTTGAGAAAGTTGAAAACGTTGCAAGTATGATTTATACAGATTAAGCAAATTCACTTTTGCTTCACTTTTTCCTCATAGAAAATGATATTAATAATAACAGACAGTACAAAAAGAGCAACACGCGATACTCCCCGAAAAAAATAACAATAATAAGAAGCAAAGCATGATCAAAAAACTCACCTGAGATATTACTCAAGATTCAAAGGCAGAGTTGAACTTAAAAAATTTCTGGCCAAATCCAGAAGCTGTCGAAAGTTCAATCAGACACTGTAAAAAAGAATGAACAGGATCATCATGAACAGAAGCAAACATAATAAACAACGTACTTCATGTTCTAATATAAAAATATTTTCGCAATACATCAAAAGAAATTGGAACTTAATACCAGTAAATTATCCAGACGAGAGTTTAACTAATAAAACAAATTTGATCCCTGAAAATCGTTTTGTTGATTTTTAGATGAAGTTGATTGCTGAAATGCTTCGTTAAAACCCATACTATAAGGATACATAAACTTAATGACCAATTTAGTTAAATCAGTATATTAACTGAAAGTCAAGAACTCCAACTATACGGAAGAAAGTATGACAGATCAAATCATAGTTGGCCAGCTCAAATGCGGTCTAACTATTGAATGCTTAGAGTAACATAACGATGATCAAAGAACTTATACCTGTCCACACTGCCATGACTAGCATCTTTCAACTCAATCACATGCTCATGGAAAATATCTGGAGTTTAATCATAACTCAGTCATGACAAACTCCAACAAAATTACAACGAGTGAGCTGTGTTGGTCCAATAATTTGCCAAGCTTTTGTCCTCGCGAGCCCAAAATACTTAAGGCCAAGTTATCAGAAGCCCCACAGAAACTAAACTCATATTCAACTCCCAATTCCTACACACACTTCCAGTTAGGCATGTTGCATGAGCCTTTCATCAAACCATTCATCTTTGCTCGTCTTAAGATCTCAAAAGAACTTTCGTTGGGCAAATGGCCATCGATGGCCATCACTTTAAACAGATACATGATCTCCCTAAACATCCCTCTCATGTACATCGCTTTCATTATCGTCTTGTAAATAAATAAATCAGGAATAAAACCATCCTCTCTCATCTTGTCTCGAAGTTCAAGGGCAAATGGTATCTTGCCTTCTCTGCAAGCGCCATAAATGAAGCAACCATAAGTGCCGACATCGGGTTTCAATTTCCTGCCATTCATCTCCTTTGAAAGCTCGTATAAAAGAGAATTCTTGCCCACACGTACAGAGGCACGCATTAGAATATTATATGAAGCCGTATCAGGCAATACCCCATTTTCTTGAAAATAGTCGAGCATTTTTAATGCCATCTCGAGTTTTCGCTTCTTGCAGAGCCCGAGAAGGAGGGTGTTCAAAGTAACCGTGTTAGGCTTAGGGCCCTTAACCACCATAGACTCCACCAGCTTCAAGCACTCGGAAAAATTGTCAGTCGAACAATAATATTCAATCAGACACGTCAAGCTCATGACATCGCAATTTATTCCTTCACAATCCATACGCCCCAAAATCTGCCTGATCACGGATGAATCTCCGAGTTTACACGCGGCCGACAAAATCGTGTTGAAGGAAATTAGATCAGGCCCGTTATCAGGAAACTTCGCAAAGTAAAACAACTCTAGAGCCTCATCCATGTTTTTCTCCTCACAAAGCCCTTTTAGAATCACATTGTAAGTTGTATTAGTCGGCCGAAACAAACCCTTCTTGATCATACTCTGCATCAGATACAAAGCATCTCTTGAACTACCATCACAGCATATGGATTGCAGGTATATATTATAAACAACGTCATCTAGAGAGCAGGCCTTCTTAACAACATTGAACAGCATCTTATTGGCACAATCCACCTTGCCCCTTTTTAACGGGCCTCCAGCCAAAGCAGCATAAGTGTACACATCAGCCACCAAACCCTTTTCACCAGCTACTCGAAGAAGGCCATCGATTTCAACCATCCTGCCTTGATAACTAAGTTCACGGAGAATTATATTGTACGTGACCAGATCAGGATCACACCCATTTTCCTCCATCTTGCCTAAAAGGATGAGTGCTTCATCAACTTTACCGTCATCACAGAGAAATTTAACGACTACAGTATAAGTTACTAGACTAGGCCTACAACCAACATTCTCCATTACATTCAAGCAATGAAAAACTTCATCCCAGAGCTTTTCCTTACTAAAACCGTAAACCAAAGCAGTGTACGAATGCACACAGTGTACAAAACCTTTCTTTTCTAACAAACCGAAAAATGATAGAGCAGTGTAAGTCTGGTCAGACTTACATAGATTCCATAGTATGGGATTGTAAAGAGACCCTCTGCATAAGTGTCCCTTACCTGAAAACAAGGAGAAGACAGAATACGCCTTTTGGACCATCCCCTCAGTACAAAGACCCTGGATCAAGGCACCCGTATCACAATGACTTGGACAAAAGTTGGAACTAAACATAATATCGAACACTAAAGCTGCATCTTCTACACTCCCTGCTTTCAACAGCTTCTTGAGCAATTTTGAGAAAACTGTAAACGAAGGCAGCCACCCACAATTTATCATTTCCTCAATAACCAAAACTGCATCCTGTAATCCACCGGCAGAAATAATCCCATTCAAGAGAGTGTGATAGGTCAATAAATTCGGGGTAGGCCCAAACCTTTTCATCCCGTTGTAAACCTCAAACACCTCATTCACCAATGCATTACCAGACTTGAAGTAACACCCTATCATCGCATTATAGTCGTAAACAGTCGGTTTTCCTGGTACGTTACTCCTCATGAAATTTAGGGTCTCCAGGGCTTTTGTAATGCTCCCTGACGTGGCATGCTTCTGCATCCTCTGCTGCAGGTCAGTGTAGCTTATCGACTCGCTGACCAGCGTTGAGTTATCATCTGATGAAAAGTCAGCAACTTGAGCGCCGGTACAAAAAGTGGAGATGTTTACTAACTGGGAGCAAAAGTGCAATCTTTGTCTCGTGGGCAATAAATTCAGGGTGCAAGAATGCATTCTTGCGGTAGTCCACAAATTGAGAAACCGACCCTAATTGCATTTCATTAGCTGCTCTCTGACTCTTTTTTTTTTTTTTTCNTTTAGGGCAAAAGTAGAGGTATGAAATCAGCGGTGATACGCATGCTTAAGCTCGACATTGGAAATAGTAAAGGAAAATGTGGCAAGAACTGTCAGAATGGAAGCGTTGGATAACTCATTTTGGGAAAATTTTCTGTGGAAAGCCATAAACCCTAGTGAATGCTTTCCCCAGGAAAACGCAAAACCCTTTACCAGTACGACGTCGTAATTTTGTATGTTTAGGAGAGGGAAGGTTTTGGAATTTCAGCCTCTTGTAAGTTGTAGGCTTGTAGCTAATGCTCTAGTGCTATGACTAACTGATTAATGGGTGCGGTGTGGGCCGGGCCGGTCGAGAGTCTAAGCGGGATTGAATTTTAATCCAACCCAACAATATTTAACTTATTTTCATAAGATTAGCGCTATTTGATATATTTACTAAGAGTGTGATTGGTTGGCAAAGGGTTATTGGGCTTGATATAATCATCTTGATTTTAGCAAAGGTTATCTCACAATTTACCTACCCCATTAACTCATTTGGTTGAAGAATGATTATTATAACCTTTAAGGCTAGATTACTTTTTTGCCCTTTATTTACAATTAAATTTTCAAATCTTGCCCTACTCCAAAATTTATATTTCTTTTCATATTATTGCAACATTCATAAAAGTTCAAATTTCTCCTAACTTGTGAACAGAGACCAAACTTTAGAAACAAAAAACGAAAGATGGATAATGGCCATAAAACACAAATTAATCGAGTAGCGGCCACGGTAGAGGAGCTGCGCCGGGTTTTGGACTCAGGACACTTGATTATTTGTTGTTTGGTGTAATGCCACCACTATTTTTCTCCTAAATTCAGAGGCGATGGACGACTTCCGGCTAGGGGAGGAAGAAGTCGTCGATGTTCCGCTCCTTGGCGAGGGATTCGGAGGAGGGTTTGATCTTTGATTTGGGAATTTTTATCTTCAAGTTAGGGTTGGAGGAGGATGAGGCATGGTGTTCTGTTGCAGATCGGCGATGAGATTGCTTCTGGCGGCGGAGGGATTTGGCCTCGACCTCGCGTTTCTCCTCGTCGCGGAAGTGCAGGAGGCGCTTCGATTTCGGAGCGGCTTGAAGAATTTCTCGCAGTCGATGTCCTCCGCGAGGCTCTGTCACTTTTTTATAAGCTTCTTCTTAAGGATGTCCATGGTTTTTGATGCGGTAACTGTTGGCAGGAGATTTTTTATGCAGAGATTTTTTTTTCCGTCGATTTAGGGGCTCGGGTATGTGGAGGAAGGAGGGCTGAGGCTGATTTTGTAAATTGAAAAGTAATATTACACATCCCACCAAAGAGGTGGTATACATAATACTGAAAATTGCTAATGAAATCCAGTGTAGAAAAAGAACCTTGCAAGGAAGGCTAACCGACTTGGCCCTATTTCCCGAACTGCTAAGATAATTTAGCACGCCATGACTTATTTCCAAGGTTTACTTATTAGAACAAAACATGGTAATATGATGGATATAGTATAAAATGGTGTGATATCAAGCCTAATCCATCTAACCAATCACACCCTAAATATATATACTAGCATTATTATAATTTGAATGACCAATTATAAATCTTAATATCATATATTTATTTATTGAAATTATGAATATTATAACAAATTTATTGTTAACCAGTTTGGATATTTTAATATTAGCGCATCTATAAGATAATGTAAATTACTTATTTGTTGAAATTATAAATATTTTAAATATCTATTGTATTACTTTTAACACGTCTGTTTATACCACAAATTCTCGAGCCGCTCGACCGCTCCTCCCGAACCGGGTTGAGCCTCCTTGATCGTCGGTACCTGCAAACCACGCCGGGGTGGTCCCGGCGTGGACACTCCGACGCTCAAGTCAGTGGTGGTGTTTTGGAGAGAAAACGATAGAGTAACGAGATAATGTGTGTATGTGTGTTGTGTAAAATGAATGAACCTATTCCTTTTATAAGTGAGGTCATGCGCAAGTCGAAGAGTTCTTGTTGGTCTAGAAGTCTTCCTCGTGTCTATCTCTAAACTAGGTCAAAGATATCCAGAATTTCATAGTCCTTATCACTCTAAACTTCCTTGTGACTTGGCCAAGCCACCTCCAGGCTCTGGTCCCCTCGGTAGAACCCTCTGGCTGAGGTGTCTAGGTGCCGAGGTGCCTAGCTGCCGAGGTGCTGAGGCGCCTACCTGCCGAGGTGCCTAGCTGTCGAGGTGCCGAGGTGCCTAGCTGCCAAGGTGCAGAGGCGCCTAGCTTACCAACCTTTGGTACTCCGCCTAGCTAGTCCTCGCCTAGCTCCCATTGGTACTCCGCCTAGCTAGTCCCCGCCTAGCTAGTCCTCGCCTAGCTCCCATCGGTACTTCGCCTAGCTAGTCACAGCCTAGCTAGTCCTCGCCTAGCTGTTTGAACTCCGCCTAGCTGACCAACCTTTTGTATGCCACCGAAGTGCTCATGCCAAGCTAGCCCCTTGCCTAGCTCCTATTCAGTGTAAATGTGATCAAACTCGGATCACAACCGGTCCTCCATGAACCTCTACTTATGGCCATATCATCTAGCCCCCCCATTTCTTAGACAAACCATCACAGCTTGGCTTAAGAAATAGAAAAATTACTCATGTCGCAGCAAGTGGTCACACCCAGATTGAAAATCTCATCGGTCGCCTATCATAATCATGTTGATCTCATTCGGACTTTTCGCCGCCACGTGAACTCGCCTACGAAGTGCCGCGGCATAACCCTTCGCGTTCAATGCCAAGCTGATCTGCATGAGGTGTCGCACCCGACGCTCCTCGTTGCTGAGAGGCCGAGCTGACGAGCTGTAGGATGACGAGGTGCGCGTTGCACCGGCGTGCTGTGACACACGACCGACGGAGCCGGGAAACGATGAGGTGGCGTATGCTGAGCTCAGAAGCGACTAGGTGCACGTCGCGCCGGGCTGCAGATGACGAGCTGAGAAGCGAAGAGGACGCGTATGCCGAGCTGGAAAGCGACAAGGTGCGCGTCGCGCCAAGCTGTCGATGCCGAGCTGGGAAGCGACGAGGTGCGCGTCGCGATGCCGAGCTGGGAAGCGACGAGGTGCGCGTAACGCCGAGTTGCCGATGCCGAGCTGGGAAGCGACGAGGCGAGCGTCACGTTGGGCTGCCGATGACGAGCTGGGAAGCGACAAGGTGACCGTCACGCCGGGCTGCATATCCCTGTGGTGAGCTGCCGGACATGCCGACCACCTCGTGATGCCGAGCTGCTGACTACGCCGGCTGTCCCGTGATACCCTGACACCAAGTGCCGAGCTGATCGCGTGGAGACACCGAGGGTGCCGACCACCCACAATGCCGATGCCGAGCAGCCGAGGGTGCCTACCTGCTGAGGTGCCAAGCACCGAGCCACCCCGCGCCGCCCTGCCTAGCGCCGAGCTGCCGAGCTCATGTGGTCTTCAACCAATTTTTGCACCTTTCTCTTGCCTTTTGCTTACTCCTCACCATCTCTTTATTCTTGAATTTTAATGAATGCACCTAGGCTTATGTGCTTGGCTACCCATCACCTCCTCACATGCTTTCACCTCCCCACCATCTTGAATGTGACATAAAGCAACTTGGTCCCCAAGCTTCATCCTCCTTAGATGTGTTGAACAACTTTTGTGACTTTTACTATGTAACGGTAAAAACTCGCTTTGTCGTATACCTTTGTAAGCTCAATGCATCGTGTTTTTCTTTTCTATCTTTTGTGAACCGACTTCACTTATTGATATTTAACATCATGTTCTTAATGCAATGTCTACATATCGCCGTTACTTGTTTCAAACGCCGCATACTTACACAATTCATTATTGCATAAGTAATCATATTTTCTCTTTCGTGACGAGATTCATTCACCAAATCTTGCAAATACTTAGCATCGTGACAATGGGCTTTTGCACCAACACAATTATTGCTAAGTGCTTCAAGACCCGTATACACTTCACACGGCGGCCCTGCGAAGTCTTAGCTGGAACTTAACCGGCTTAGACCCTACGGTGGTCGTCGTCGAGCCCTGTGAGATACAATTAAGACTTACAGGCAAGATTGACATGCTTGCGCCCTACAAAGGTCGTCGCATAGCTCCGCAAGCTTAGATGAGACTGACAGGCTTGTGCCCTACAGAGGTCATCGCCTAGCTCCGCGAGCTTAGGTGAGACTAACAGGCAAGGTCGCCCTACAGAGGTCGTCGCCTAGCTCCGCGAGCTTAGGTGAGACTGACAGGCTTGCGCCCTACAGAGGTCGTCGCCTAGCTCCGCGAGCTTAGGTGAGACTGACAGGCTTGCGCCTACAGAGGTCGTCGCCTAGCTCCGCGAGCTAAAGTGAGACTAACAGGCTGGCGCCCTACAGAGGTCGTCGCCTAGCTCCGCGAGCTTAGGTGAGACTGACAGTCTTGCGCCCTACAGAGGTCGTCGCCAAGCTCCGCGAGCTTAAGCGAGACTAACAGGCTTGCGCCCTACAGAGGTCGTCGCCTAGCTCCGCGAGCTTAGGTGAGACTGACAGGCTTGCGCCCTACAGAGGTCGTCGCCAAGCTCCGCGAGCTTAAGCGAGACTAACAGGCTTGCGCTCTACATAGATCATCGCCTAGCTCCGTGAGCTTAAGCGAGACTAACAGGCTTTCGCCCTCATACATTCCACACAAGAAAAGAATCAAGCTGATAAAACTTCAAATGCAATCTTATTACTCATCTCGCCGAAAGATCATAAAAACAAACGAAAGCAATTAAAATGACATATCTCCAGCTATGCATAATATTTCTTCAATTGTAGTATGTTCCACAGTCGTGGCAACAACCGTCCCTCTATCAATTCAACTTCCATCAGCTCGTCTTGGGAGCTCATCCCCAACTCTTGTTTCTTTTCTCGGTGGGAACACTCAGGTAGGTCATCATTCCTTCTTTTGTTCTGCGCCTCGGCTGTCTTCAATGTGACCTCATAACACCGCCGAGATTGTAGCTGGTCTTCTGCCACCTCTCCAACCTCATTCCCTACGGGAAACTTGACCTTCATGCAATAAGTTGACACAGCAGCCTGGAATGAGTTCAAGCTAGGCCGCCCCAGTATAATGTTATATGCCGAGCTAGCATCAACGACCAAGAAACGGACCCTCTTCACACTCCTCAGAGGTAACCTTCCCAACGCCATAGTCAAACTGACTTCGCCAATGGGGCGAACTTGGCTGCCGCTAAAGCCATAAAGAGCAGTGTGGACTGGCTCGATCTTCACGTCTAACTCCATCTGCTGTAAACACTTTTTAAGAAAATGATATCCGCCGAGCTCTCTGTATCTATAAGTACCCTTTGCACATCATAGCTAGCCACTTCTGCGGTGATGACCAATGCATCATTATGTAAGATAACAAGATCCTACACATCTTCAGCTCCAAACCTTAAAGTAGCCGAGCTTACCTGTAGCTGCACCTCGGCCACCTTGTCAACCACTCTTTTCCCTCGGTAAGTCCTCTTCCTTTCCCTATGTGAATCTCCATCCGTAGGACCCCCCGCGATCATGTGTATTATGCATTTCTTGACTGGCCTGTCAGGTTGCTCATCAGTCCTCCTTCGCTTGTCACCTGATTCGTACCCCTCGTGGCGATCTTCCTGGCGCTCTTTATCCTTGATCACGAATTCTTTTAAGTGACCAGCCCTAATGAGCCGCTCAATTTCATCTTTCAACTCTCGGCAGAAATTGGTAGAGTGACCATAATCATGGTGGTACCGACAATATCTATCATTTCCTGCTGAAAATTTACGCGGTGGGGGTAGAGGCTTGGGTTGTGCGAGCAATTTGTCCTCCCCCCGCTCCTCCATCATCTCCAGGATCTCTTGCTGTGGCGCATTAAGCAATTTGTAATGCTCATACCTCGGACCCCTAAACCGATCCTCACCTGTAGACTCCTTAGAGGCAGCTCGTCGATCACTCTGTCGAGGCTTCTCATCTACCTGCTTAGCCTTTGTTTTGTCAATAGAACCGGGTGGCCTCTGGTGGAACCAGTCTTGTGCTGAGCCCTTCAAGGTAGTTAAGAAAGCCCGACAACTAACCGCATCACTGTATCGGTGCAGGACCGCTATGTTGTCGAACGACCTCAGGTGTCTAGCAGGATCTGCCGACCCATCATATGATAGGCTCAACTCTCTGAAGTTATTTGGCAAGTCTCCACCTCTCACCTCTTCCGAAAAAGGATGACCGTGCGACCTGCCCACCCTTCTCCCTGGGAGTCGGGCTTGCATCTCACGCATTTGTTCCGCTAGTCTTTCCAGAGTCAATCCCT